CCCCCCCTGGGGGGGATGGCCCCATCTCGATCCCTTCGCCTCCATTCTTCTCCTGGGATTCTGGGCACACACAAATGCATCCGGTTTAAGTTTCAAGCCACCCAGTCTGGGACTCAAACTGCAGTCGGCCACGTGGGAGTAGCACCTTCTTTTAACAACTCTGCCATATTAAGAATTAATATTTGGGACCAGCAGTTAGCGTAATGGCTATGTCGCTGAACTCCTATGTAGTTGACTGCGGTTCGAGTCCTGGACCTGGTGGCTTAAACTCACGCCAGGCGCATGTGCATGTGTGCCCAAGATCCTGAGAGAGAATGGAGGAGAAGGGATTGCGACGTGGCCATCCCCCCGGGGGGGGGATTTCTCACTTTCTCTCACTATCTCTCTCTAGTGAGCATATGTACTGTATTTTATCCTTGAAGATATGACAAATTGGTAACAGCTGAAGGCTTTTTAGGTATAAAACATAAATTCTAACACTTATTAATTTACTTAATCATAACAACCCTACAAAGTAAACATTAAGACTGTACCCATTTTACAGATGAGGAAACGGACAAAGGTTAAAAAGTTATCATTACTCAAAGTTACACACTAAAATAACAATGCCTGAGTTCACATCCAGCCAGTTTGGTACCTTCAGTTTTGTTCTAAAAGTCTATTAACAACAACCACACAACTGAATGTCTCTTTTCTTGTCTTAGATGCCTTACCAACAGGAACTATACCGACTATGTTCTGAATTGCTCCTTCTCCCAAATACTCCATTCTCAAGTAGACGCTGGTATAATTTATGCCCTCTCAAATCCTTTGTACAAGGTAAGGCTCAAATAAGTAGTTAATTTATAGAAATAGTTATTTACAGATTTGAACTAAGCCCAAAGAATAAAGAAGTTTCTAATTTATACAAGGCTGAGTTCGGGACCCTTCATTAATATTTACTACATATGTGAACTTAAGTCACTTAAATTCTATGAATTTCAGTTTCCTTATCTATACTATATGGAAATATTACCTATCCTATGAGATTTCTAAAACTTAAAAGATACTTTTTAAATGTAGCTACTAAATATTTTAAGGTTCTTGTCATGGGCGTGTACGCTCACCAGAGAGAAAGACAGAGAAAGGAAAAGTGAAAAATCACTGTCGCCTTGGGGAGGATGGCTATGACACAATCCTTTCTATTCTCCTCCCAGATTTTGGGCAAGCAAGCCCACATGCCCGGCATGATTTTCAAGCCACAGGCCTGGGACTTGAACTGCATGGTTGACCATGTGGGAGTTCAGCCCCTTAACCATCATGCCACTGGCTGGTCCTGCTACCAAAAATGTTTCAATTTATGTAGCTCTTATTTTATTTCTGACAACATCATACTTGATACTGAAGTAAAAAGTAAACAGGTGAAATTAGTTATAATAATATATTTTATTTAACCAATATATCTGAAAGACCACTTCAATATATAATCAGCATAGAAGTTATGAATTAGGTATCTTACGCTCTCTTTTGAACTGTAATTTCTAAAATACAGTATGTACTTTACACTTACCAGTACATCTCAACTTGTACAGTACTACATTTTCATCAGTAATACCTGAAGTAGATTTAGGTTTCATAAAATTTACAATTGATAAAGCAGACTCACATATCCAAGTTGTTTGAAACATATTCAAAAGTTTCCAGTAACTGAATCAAGTACTAAAGAAATCTATTTTCCTTTAATATTCACTTCAGTTGAATGAGCCATATTTCAAAAGAAAAAATGTCTAAACACAGTTATTGACTACCATAATGAACAGTGCATCTAACAAATAAAATGCAAATAAAGGGTGGCTGGTAGAATATACAATTAAATGAAAATGGCACTGATTGGTATAGGCAGATGAGAGAAAAAAGATACAAACTTCTTTATGGGCATATTATAAAGGAAATATCAATGGGTGAGATACCAGTTACTGATAATGGATAGGGCAGTGACTTATTCAAATACAGAAATAGAATGAAAATTATGAGTGCTGTTCTCATTCAGAAAAATTATATTTGGTACCAAAATTTAGTTCAGTTTTTCACCATTCCCACCTAAGAATTAAATATTTCATTAAATAATTAAGTTCAAAGGCACTCTAAAATGCAACCCAGATAGAACTAGCACATTTTATTTAAACACGTTATGGAAGCAAATCTTAGAAAACAAGCATCTTTTTACAAAATGAAATACTCCCCAAAATCTCAAATCTACTCTGATTTCAAATTCAAGAGTTTGTATTTAGAGATATCCCTTGAGAAAACACATAATTTTACTCTTTCTAAAATGTTAATAATGGTTAGCTCTGAGTGGAAGGATTAAGTCTTCCCCCAGGGCCAGCAGATAGCATGGTAGTTAAGGGCACTAGACTCCCGCGTGGCCGTCCATCCTTTAAGTTCTAGACCTGGCGGCTTCCTTTCTCACTTTCTTTCTTTCTCTCTCTCTCACTCTGTCGCTCTCTGGCCAAAATTAAAAATAAATAAAATAAATAAAGTTAAATAAAATAATTCTAAAAAAAGTCTTCCCCCACAAAACTCTTCCTTTTATTTTTATACTCCAATTCCTAATATATCATATTTCTGTAAACCTAACCTAATGTTTCTACTTAAAATCAACCAAAAAGGATGTAGATATAGGCATCTAATTGCTTTATACTATGTCGTTCAATATAAAGAAACTGCCTGGCTCAATTTTTGATGGAGTATAAGCTTGTAAGTTGGGGCCAGCAGGTGATATAGCGGTTAAGATGCTGGACTCCCACATGGCCAACTGCAGTTCAAGTCCTAGAACTGGCAGCTTGTTCTCGCTCTGGACAAAATAAAAAATAATAATAATAAATAAAATTAAATAATTCTTTTTTTAAAAATCTGTAACTTGAAGCATTACAGTCTCAGGATTTAATTCCACCCCTATCTATCTATATGTGAATAAAATATTAAATACATTTCAAAGAATGAATCAAGGACATTTTCAAAAACTATTTACAGGCCTGATCTGAGACACAATGATAATACCCTGGTCAAGAAAAGCCAGATCCTACATGACAACCACAGTTCAAATCCCCAAGCCAACCAGCCTGAAACATGCCAAGCACATGCAGTACCTAAGATCCATGACCTACAGCCAGATCCTATGGAAGGTGATCATCCCTCTCTCTTACTTTCACATGTGCACACATATGCACTATTATAAATAAAGAAAAGCTATTTAAATAAAGTAAATTTATCTTCTCTCTTTACAAAATAAGAAACCAAAAGTTGTTCATAATAATATGAGAAGAATGCTATTGTGACATTAATCCTGTCTGAAACTAAGCATATGCGTAGATTTATAGAAACAGCTGGTTTTTTTTTTTTTTTTCCTGCCTCTCTTCTTTTGTTATTAACATCTTAATTTTTCTTTGGGAAACTAATGCTCTCCCACTGTCAATCATGCACAATTTTCTAAAGAAGTATCTATTCATTTAATTTTTTATTTGTTATTATTTTTTATTTTGATGACAGAGAGACAGAGAGAGAAAGAGAAAGCAAGAAAGCAAGCCACCAGATCTGGGAATTGAACCACAGTCGGTCACATGGGAGTCCAGTGCCTCAACCACCACACCACTCACTGGCCCCCCATCAATCATGTATCAATACTTCTAATGAGTCTGACCCCCCTTCTAATCCGAAGATGAGACTAAAACTAACCCAACTCACTTTCTTAAGATTCAGTCCCACTACTTCTTTGTTTTAACTTAGAAACAGGAGAATCTTTTCTGAACTGAACAAAAGATAAGCTGATGGCCACCTTTCCTGATAGATTAACTATGTCAAAATATTGTTATCTTCAAGTAAATGAAATATGGGTGCTAGTTTTCGCCTAGTGTTAGACATTCTTTCAATTTTGCAGTCTGATCCTTAAATAGACTAATATTTAGTACACATTATAATTCTTAAATAAAATTAACAGCACTAAGAAACAGCAGTAATAAAAAACAATCCATTACTCTCTTCTCTCTATAAATTTCCCTTCATCATAACATAAGCATGGAAAGAAGAAAGCTCTTATCACTGAGAAAATCATCCTCAAGGCCCAAATGGGAGACACATCAAATAGTATGCATTCTGTGTGTAAGAGTCAGCAAGCAGACCTGCACAGAAGTTACAGCACTGAAGACATAAAGCAATTAGGACAAAATAGATGCCACTACTTGGCAACCATCTAATTTCTTTAACTTAAACATATCTGTTATGGACCAGCAGGTGGCAAGGAGGTTAAGGCACTGCCTGGTTAAAGTCCTGGACCCAGTGGCTTGAAAATCACACTAAGCACAGCACGTGTGCACCTAAAATCCTAAGAGGAGACTGGAGAAGAAAGGATTCTGATGTGGCCATCACCCCAGAGAGTGATTTCTCACTCTTTCTCTCTTCCTCCCTCTCTTTCCAGCAAGCACACACCCTTCATAGCAAAAACTAAAAACAAAAGTTTTTAAAATTTCTCATATAATATTGTACACAAAGAAAATAATTTTAAAAATATTTAGTAAACATTTCTTGAATATTCATTATAGTCATTACAGACTACAGGTGCCCTGTAGAACGATCACAATCTACTGATTAACCCTGGTCAATCTAAGTAAGCTAGCTGCCACCATCGAAACATTCCCTGACACACATAATGAGATTCCCAATGGAAAAAAGAACTGATGCCAGTATGCCTCTTTGGGTCTATGGTTTGCTATGGTAATTACCCTCAGTTCCACAATAAATAAAATAGAAGTCTATGAAAAGTACCTCTCTACCAGGAAAAGATCAACACTACCTGAACTAAAGAGTCATTCAAAGGAGAGAACCTTTGCTAGGTGCAATCTCAGCTCAGCCTACCTGTCCAAAGTGAGCAGGATAGCCCAGCATGTGCATATATAGTAATTTTGCCACATTCCGACACCGGTATGTATTGTCTTCTTCTCTAAAAGATGACCGAATTGCAGCACATTCTTTCTGGATCATTTCTCGCTCTTCAGCTTGGGTTCGGGCTGTCCGGATGGTCCGGATCAGCTCCCGCAATCTGATGGGGGCTGGCATCCTCTGGATAGGAAAAGACATTAAATAGAGATGTTCACAATTTTTACTACCAAAACCATTCATACAACTTCCCATATACATTTTTGACTGATTTTTAAGAATTTAAGACTTGATAAGTGCAGATTTGCCAAGCTAAGCAAAGCTTTTGTATGTAACAACTTTATATATAAACCCCTCAACTCAATAAATTTCTGGAAAGGCTACAAACAAAAATGTTAATTATTAAGTTAAGAAAAATTAGACCCAGAATACACAAATATGTAAGGCCCAGCACTAATACTAAAATACCTAAAGAATGAATTCAACCCAAATCTTCATTCAGTCCTTAAAATAAGTCTTTAAAAAGGCTATCCCTAATCTTACAAAAGATATTTTCTACTCAACTGCAGTTAAATTCAACATAGTATTGCATGGATATACTGCAATCACAGCTCAACTCAACAAAGTATGACACATTAGGAGAGAAGATCAATTGTTAGATTAAAACATCCAACAAACTATAAAGATCTCAGTACACTGGATATACTCTGAAAATGTGATAAGGAAAAAACAAACTCAGAAGATAAATGAATAATGCTTGCTTGCTTTTTTTTTTTTTTTAAGAGAGATTTTTATTATAGGGCACATGCACTTGCTGGAGAGACAGAGAGACATAAAGTGAAAAATTACCCCCTCAGAAGATGGCCACACTGCAATCTCTTCTCCTCCATCCTCTCCTCTCAGGATTTTGGGCATGCATGCACATGTGCGTAGTGTGAGTTTTAAGCCTCCGAGTCTAGGACTCAAACCACTGTCAACTATGTGGGAGTCCAATGATATAACCATTAAGCAATCTGCTGGTCCCCTGTTTTTGTTTGAATTTGCCAGAGGACATGTACACTCACCAAAGAGTAAAGGGGGGAGAAAGTACCCCTCCCCAGCAGCTGGTCATGTGCAATCTCTTCTTTCCATCTCTCCTTTGCCTTGGGATTTTGGACACACACACACACACACACACACACACACACACACACACATGCCCCCAATGTTTTTAACCCCCCAGGTCCAAGACTTGAACACACTTTGGCCATGTGGGAGTACAGTGCTTTAACCACCACTATGCCACCTGCTGGCCTCATTTTTAAAAACTGCCTGAGGGTGGAACCAGCAGTTAGCGTAATGGCTATGTCGCTGGACTCCCGCGGTAGTCGACCCGCGGTTCGTGTCCTGGCCCCGGTGGCTTAAAACTCACACCGGGTGCATGTGTGTGCATGCCCAAGATCCTGAGAGGAGAATGGAGAAGGGATTGCGGCGTGACCATCCCCCCTGGAGGGTGATTTCTCACTTTCTGTCTCTCTGTCTCTCTCTGTCTGGCGAGTGCACGCACCCTATAGCGAAAATCTCTCAAAAAAAAAATTTTTTGCCTGAGGGCATATGAGAGAGACAGACAGAAAGACAGAGGGAGAAAAAGAACCTCAATGGAACACAATTATGCCTTAATCCTTTTTTCTATGCCTCCATTCTATCAGGATTTTGTGAACGCGTGCACTCATGCCCAGCACGTATTTCAAGCTGCCAGGGCAAGGATTCAAACTGTAATCAACCACACGGAACACAGCTCCCTTTGAACAATGCTTAATTACTGCGCTACAGGGCCAGCCCTGTGCTACTATGTTTTTATGGAGGAAATTGAGGACCTAGGCTGTTAACAACCTTGTACAAGGTTATACGGTTAGTTACTGACCTGACTCATCTTTCTGTTTCAGCACTCTTCCTCCAATACTAGGCTGTCGATAGGTCAGAGAAAAGCATTATTTTTCCTTGAGCTGTGACAACCTACTACTACTTGATTTCTTTACATATCAAAAGGACATAAAATGGATTTTTAAAAAAGAACAAATTGAATCATATTGCAAAGAACTGAACATATATGAAAAAACACATTCTCTCTCTTTTTTTAAGTATTGAAAAAGAGAGGTTCCTTCAACAGGATCTCATCATGCCCTACTATCCCCTTCCCTGTACTCTTCTAGCCAGCAAAGATGGTACACCTATGGGCACACCCAAATGTGTTCACATCAACCTGGGATCTGAACCCTAGACCCTCCCATATGGCACCAGTATTGCACTGTAGCACCTTACTATTTGCGCCACCATGGCTGGACCAAGAAAACACATTCTAAAATTAAAAACCAAACAAAAAGTTCCAGTTTTAGGACTGTCCCCATGGCCTAGTGAGTAAGGGAGCCAGATCCTAAATGGCTGACCACACGGTTGAAGTGCCAGCCTCAGCAGCTTAAAAAACACTCTTGGTTGGGACCAGCAGTTGGTATAATGGTTACATTGCTGAACTCCCATGGCTGACCATGGTTCAAGTCCCAGACCCGGCAGCTTGAAACTCACGCCGGGCGCGTGTGCGTGCGTGCCCAAGATCCCGAGAGGAGAATGGAGGAGAAGGGATTGTAGTGTGGCCATCCCCGCTGGGGGATGATTTCTTGCTTTCTGTCTCTCTGTCTCTGATTTTTGGTGAGCGCAAGCACACATGCCCTATAGCAAAACCTCTATTAAAACAAAACAAAACAAAACAAAAAAACCTCTAGGTGGGCCAGCAGATGGCGTATCAATCACATTGCTGAACTCCCATGGCTGACCATGGTTCAAGTCCCAGACCCAGTGGCTTGATAATCATGCTGGGCATGAGGGCATGTGTGCTCAAGATCCCAGGAGGCAAATGGAGAAAAGACTGTGGAGTGGCCATCCCCCTTCAGAGGTGATTTCTCACTTTCTCTCTCACTGTCTCTCTGTTTCGCTCCCCTATAGTGAACGCATATGCCCTAAGGGAAAAACCCCCTAAAAAAAAGGCACTTGAGGCTGGCAGGTGGTTATGGTGGCTAAGGATGCTGGACTCCCACATGGCTGACCACGATTTGAGTCCTGGACCTGGTGGCTTGCTTTCTCACTTTCCTTCTCTCTCTCACTCTGTCCCTCTCTGCTCAAATTAAATAAAGTTAAATAAAATAATTCTTAAAAAACAAAAACAAAAACCAACATTTTTTTTTTTTTTTAAAGGCACTCGTCGTGTGTGTGTATGCCGAAATCCAGACAGGATGGAAAAATGGAGAAGAGATTGTGGTGTGACCACACCCCATGGGGGGAAGCTTTCTCTCTCCCCGTGTCTCTCTAACTCTAGCCAGTACACATGCACTCTGGTAATTTAAAAAAAAAAAAAAAAAAAGGAAAATATAAGTTCCTGTTCTAGGGAAGATAGAGTCATCACACCACACCCTGTTTCTCCCTCTGAGACAACTATAAATCCTGGATAAAATGCATGCCACAACTACAGCAAAGTAAACAAGAAAAGACTGGAGAAATGAGCATTTGAAGTTTCAATACTGGCAAAAGGTTATCAGTTTTTCCTTCAGTATTGTCCAGCCTGGACTCCAAAGCAGCCCAAAACCCAGAAGAGCTCACTGCATACAGAGAGAAGAAACACTAAGAAAAACCCTTCTGGTCCATGGAGAAGGGAAAAGAAAATCAAAGACAGTAGGAGAAATTCTCTATTGGGTCTTTTCTTCTTTCCGTACCTCCTCATCCCTACACAATACTACACTGATGGTGGCTGTGGCAGAACAACAATGGCACTGAAAACTGCAAGGCATCTAAAAACTGGAGGAGGGAAATTCCTCTCTGACCAGTAGAGTTATGATCTGAAGAATGTGAGGATAATTGCTGTCTTTTCTATCTTCCCATTACTTGATAAAATGGTGATTTCACCAAGAAACATAACAACTCTCCTTGTCCCTAACAACATAGTTAAAAAATACATAAAGCAAAATTTGACAGATATAAAGAGAGAGAGAGGGCTGGCCTCATGACCCAGTGGTTAAGGGAGAAGGATCCCACATGCCCAACTGTGGGTCGAGTCTTGGCCCCAGCAGTTTGAAAAACACTCCAGGCACATAGTGTGAATGCCCATAAAATCCCAACAGGAGGGAACCAGCAGTTAGCGTAATGGCTACGTCGCTGGACTCCCACGTAGTCGACCACGGTTCGCGTCCCGAACCCGGTGGCTTAAAACTCACCCCGGGCGCATGTGCGTGCATGCCCAAGATCCTGAGAGGAGAATGGAGAAGGGACTGCGGCATGACTATCCCCTCTGGGGGGTGATTTCTCGCTTTCTGTCTCTATGTCTCTGTCTGTCTGGCGAGCGCACGCGCCCTAAAGCAAAAACCTCTCAAGAAAAAAAAAAAATCCCAACAGAATGGTAAAATGGAAGATAATAGTGGTTTACAGTATGGTATGACCATAGTCCACTAAGGTGTTTTATTCCTCTTCCTTTCTCTGAGCTGTGACAATTTATTACTATGCAATTTCTTTACCTATCACAAGAACATATAATATCACACACATATATCACACACCCTCTGGCAAAAAAAATTTTTTTGAGAGGCTTTTGCTATAGGGCGCATGCGCTCACAAGAAAGAGAGAGAAAAAGAGACAGAAAGCAAGAAATCAACCCCCCCCCCCGAGGGGGGAAGGCCATGCCACAACTCCTCCTCCTCTGTTCTCCTCTTAGGATCTTGGGCACACACACACACGTGCCCAGCATGAGTTGAAGCTGCCGGGTCCAGGACTCGAACCCCAGTTGGCTACATGGGAGTAGAGCAAAGTAACCATTACGCCATCTGCTGGTCCCACCCTCTGGCAAATTTTTAAAAAAATTTTAAAAAGCTTCATACGCCTTTTATCATTCCTCCTTGTTCAATTCAATGAGTAACATTACTGATGAAATAAATATTAAGGAAGCAAGTTATACCAAAAACTGCCAATCACTCATTCAACAAAGGTTTGAAAAACTTTCTTGATGTCAAACATTGCAATAAGTGCTAAGGACAAATAATGACATGACCTGTACCCTTGAGAACTCCAACTTTTTTTTTTTTGAGAGTTGTTGTTTTTTTTTGCCATAGGGCACGTGCACTTGCCAGAGAGACAGAGAGACAGAGAGACAGAAAGCGAGAAA